TATTTTCCGGGGTTTTGGATAGTGTTTTCGCTCAGATTTATCTTTACATAAAAAGTGGCTAAATTTCGATTACTTTTGAAACTGGGCTATTTTTGAACGACCAGTTGTAAATCTGGCTATTTTTAAATTTCACCCAAACTTTAATGAGGGTCCTTAATGTTTTTTTTTAATTATTTGAAGTCAATTATTCTAGCTTTTTTAGATGCAAAGTTACTAATAATGTCACGACCCTAACCCCGAACCCGGTCGTGATGGCGCCTCTCGTGAAGACAAGGCCAGCCAGTTCAACCGAACTCATCTTTTAAAACAATTAAACAACACATAACAGTTTAAAACATAATTTACTAACACTGAATAACGGAAAATAACGATAAAAATGCGGAAATCCAACCCGACACAGCCCTAACCGGGGTGTCACAAGTCACGAGCATCTATGAATCCATAATGCGGTCTGCTAAGTCATAAACTACTACATTTGTTTGAAAAGAACAGGAAAGATAGAGAAAAAGAGACACGGGGCTGCGGACATCAACAACTACCTCATAATCTCCGAAGAAGCCCGCCTGAAACTGGAGGAAATCAACACTCCGGAGCGGAACCTGATACGCCTGAATCTGCACACAGGGTGCAGGGAGTAAAGTGAGTACTCCAACTCAGTGAGTACTAAATGTAAATAATGACTGAAAGTAAGAAATCACGCAAGGCACAAAGCATTCTATGATGAAGCAGTAAAAATCATTTAAAAGCAGTAAAACTAGTGGAAATCCAGTAAAAATCCTCTTTTAACAAGTAAACAGGTATATGACAGATAATTAAGATGTGATAAATAAATAAAAGCTCGCCCCTCGGGCACAGTATCTCCACATCCGCCCCTCGGGCAACAACTCAAAACAATAACAGCCCCTCGGGCTTAATCTCACATCACACTGGGTACCCGCGCTCACTCGGGGTGTGCAGACTCTGGGAGGGGCCCCTTACGGCCCAAGCGCAATAACAAGCCATCTCGTGGCATCACAACTAGGCCCTCGGCCTCATATCAATCAAGCCACCTCGTGGCGTACATATCTCAGGCCCTCGTCCTCAAATCAGTATCAATGTCTCCTCACAACATAGGCCCTCGGCCTTACTCAGTCAAAAATACTCATAAGCCCCTTGGGCAATAGTAAAACAGTGTGTCTCAGCCCAAACATCATTTAAAATATCATTTATGTCTCAAAACATGAGTAAAACCGGCTGAGTAGTAAAACAGTGGGAAAATACATGACTGAGTTCAAGTAAATATTTCAAACAGTGAGGAAAATATCAAGAAATGCCCCGAAGGGTTCAAATAATTGGCACGAAGCCCAAATAAGACATTCAGCCCAAATCATAGTGATAACAAATATGTTTTCGGTCAAGTACGCGGTAAAATCATCAACCGGGACGGACCAAGTCACAATCCCCAACAGTGTACGACCCCACGCTCGTCAACAGGCGTGTGTCTCACCTCAACATAGCACTAAGATGTGCAAATCCGGGGTTTCAAACCCTCAGGACATCATTTACAAGCATTACTCACCTCGAGCCGGCTAAATCCCTAGCTCGCGACGCCTTTGCCCTTTGAATTGGCCTCCACGTGCGTCGAATCTATCCAAAATCAGAAAGAATACATCACAATATGCTAAGGGAACAAAGCCCAAGCGAAAACAATCTAAATATATCAAAAATCCCGAAATTAGCAAAACTTGAGCCCCGGGCCCACTTCTCGAAACTCAGAAATTTTTACATCAACGGGTTCCTTATCACTCCACACGTCTATGCATATAAAGAACACCAAAATCGGAGTCGAAATGACCCTTCAAATCCCCCAAATTAAAATTCAAAAATCCCAAAGCCCTAGATCTTCCATTTTGTTCAAGTTCCATGAATTTCTAGCTAGATTTCACAATAGAATCACGTTTTAGGTTCATAAATCTTACCTCCAATAACTTCTCCTTGAATCCTTCTTCAATTCCCCTCAAAGAGCTCTCAAAATACTCATCTATGGTGGAAAAATGGCTCAAAATCGCGGATAAAATGTTTATAAACTTTCTGCCCAGCTTCTGAACTTCCTTCATCGTGATCGCGACCTCAGCCCCGCGATCGCGAAACACCTTTTTTATTTTTCCCAGAATTAACCCTACGCGAACGCGACTCTCTCCCCGCGAACGCGATGCTTTAGACTTTATACACCTATGCGAACGCGATTACACATCCGCGAACGCGAAGAACACTGCTCCTGGACCCTTCACGCGCCGACTCTTCTACGCGATCGCAACAGCCATCGCGCGAATGCGAAGCACCCTCTTCCTACCTTACGCGAACGCGAGGCCTCAATCGCGAACGCGAAGGCCAATTTCAGACCACCCAAAAATCCTTCTACGCGATCGCGACTCAATCCACGCGATCGCGAAGGCTTAAAAGCTGCAACACCTGATCTGCAATTTCTGAAACTCTCAAAAGCCAAAAATGGTCCGATTGACCATCCGAAACTCACCCGAGGCCCCCGTGACCTCAACCAAAAGCACCAACACGTCCTAAAACCTCATTCAAACTTGTTCCAACCATCAAAACACCTCAAACAACACCAAATCTATCAATTCACATCGAATTCAAGCCTAAGTTTTCTAAAAACTTCCGAAATACGCTTTCGATCAAAAACTCAACCAAACCACGTCCGAATGACCTGAAATTTTGCACACACATCCCAAATGACATAACGAAGCTACAACAACTCTCGGAATTCCATTCCGACCCTCGGATCAAAATCTCACCTATCAACCGGAAATCGCCAAAATACTAACTTCGCCAATTCAAGCCTAATTCTACACCGGACCTCCAAAACCAATTCCGATCACACTCCTAAGTCATAAATCACCTCCCGAAGCTAACGGAACCATCGGAACTCACATCTGAGCCCTTTAACACATAAGTCAACATCCGGTTGACTTTTTCCAACTTAAACCTTCTTAAAAGAGACTAAGTGTCTCATTTCTTACCTAATCCAATCCGAACGCAAACTAATAAACTTGATCACATAAAACACGCATAACGAAGCATAAAGAAGCAGAAATGGGGAAAATGGACCGGTAACTCATGAGACGACTGGCCGGGTCGTCACATCCTCCCCAACTTAAACAAACGTTCGTCCTCGAACGAGTCAAGAAACATCCCTAAAGCCTCAAATAGGTGAGGATATCTGCTCCACATCTCCTGCTCGGTCTCCCAAGTAGCCTCCTCCACGGGCCGACCTCTCCATTGCACTTTCACTGAAGCTATATCCTTTGATCTCAACTTTCGAACCTGACGACCCAAAATAGCCACTGGCTCCACATCAAAGGTCAGATCATCATCCAACTGAACCGTGCTAAAGTCCAAAACATGAGACGGATCCCTAATATACTTCCGGAGCATAGAAACATGAAATACCGGTGCACACTCGATAAGCTGGGTGGCAAAGCAAGCATATAAGCCACCTCCTCAATCCTCCGAAGCACCTCAAAAGGCCCAATGAACCGCGGGCTCAACTTCCCTTTCTTTCCAAATCTCCTAACACCCTTCATGGGCGAAACCTTCAGCAAGACCTTCTCACTAACCATGTAGGACACATCTCGAACCTTCCGGTCCGCAGAACTCTTCTGTCGCGACTGTGCTGTACGAAGCCTCTCCTGAATCACCTTCACCTTCTCTAAGGCGTCCTAAACCAAATCAGTGCCCAATAGCCTATCCTCGCCGGGCTCGAACCAACCAACCGGAGATCTACACCGTCTCCCCTACAAAGCCTCATATGGAGCCATCTGAATACTCGACTGGTAGCTGTTGTTGTAAGCAAACTGTGCAAGCGGTAGGAATTCATCCCATGAACCTCCGAAATCAATAACACAAGCCCGCAACATGTCCTCCTATATCAGAATAGTATGCTCGGACTGCTCGTCCGTCTGAGGATGAAACGCCGTGCTCAACTCCACCTGAGTACCTAACTCTCTCTGCACGGCTCTCCAAAACTGCAAAGTAAACTGAGTACCTTTATCTGAAAAGATGGAAACCAGAACACCATGCAACCGAATAATCTCCTGGATATAAATCCCTGCCAACCGCTCTAAAGAATAGGTAGTACACATAGGAATGAAGTGCGCGGACTTGGTCAGCCTGTCTACAATCACCCAAATAGCATCGAACTTCTTCAAAGTCCGAGGAAGTCCAACAACAAAATCCATAGTGATCCTCTCCCATTTCCACTCAGGAATAACCATCTGCTGAAGCAAGCCACCCGGCCTCTGATGCTCATATTTCACCTGCTGAGAATTGAGACACCGAGCTACAAACCCCACAATATCTTTCTTCATTCTCCGCCACCAATAATGCTGTCTAAGATCCTGATACATCTTCGCGGCACCCGAATGAATGGAATACCGCGAGCTATGGGCCTCCTCCAATATCAACTCCCGAAGCCCATCCACATTGGGTACGCAAATCCGGCCCTGCATCCTCAACACTCCATCATCACCAATGGTCACATCCCTAGCATCATCATGCTGAACTCTGTCCCTAAGGACAAGCAAATGCGGATCATCATACTGGCGCTCTCTAATGCGATCATATAAAGAAGACCAAGATACCACACAAGCCAATACCCGACTGGGCTCAGAAATATCCAACCTCACGAACCGATTGGCCAAAGCCTGAACATGCACCACAAGAGGTCTTTCCCCAACCGGGATATATGCCAAACTCCCCATACTCACTGCCTTCTGGCTCAAAGCATCGGCCACTACATTGGCCTTTCCCGGATGATACAATATGGTGATATCATAATCCTTAAGCAACTCTAACCACCTCCGCTGCCTCAAATTAAGATCCTTTTGCTTGAATAAATACTGAAGACTGCGATGATCAGTGAATACCTCACAAGATACGCCATACAAGTAATGCCTCCAAATCTTCAATGCATGAACTATGGCAGCCAACTCCAAATCATGAACAGGGTNGGTCTTGCCCTTCTACTATCACATCTAATAAGGATGCTCTCTTGTCCAGTCTGATCATAGGAACAACAAAATAGAAAGCAAACCAGAGTTCAGAAAAGCAGATAGAATATATAATCAACAGAAGTGGAACAGATGAAAAGATAAAATGAACTCCCAAGAACTAATAACAAGTCAAATGGCAATAGATATTAAAGACTTCACAAGTGTGGATTCCCGAATAAAAAGTCCACGTTTCTATGCAACCAACCAATAAGTACTCTTAGTACTTGTGCCCTCATTTTCATCAGCTTTATATGTTTTAAGATGTGCTAAACCAGAAGCAAGAAGCCATTGCAGTTCAAAGTAAACTGTCGATTTTCCGAGTAAAATAGGATATTGTTCAGATTTGCAAATCAATAGTTAAAACTTAGCATTACATGTAGTGGGCGTTTGGACATAAGAATTGTAAAATTCCAAAAAAAAAAAGTGAAAATGGTATTTGAAAATTAGAGTTAGTGTTTGGACATGAATATAATATTGGTTGTTTTTGAAGTTTTGTGAGTAATCTGAGTGAAAATTTTGAAAAACAAATTTTCAAAAATTTCCAAAATGCATCTTCAAGTGAAAATTGGAAATTTTCTTAACAAACGCTGATTTCGAAAAAAAGTGAAAAAATTTCGAAAAATAGGGAAAAATTTCTTATGTCCAAGCGGGCTCATAGTGTCTACGTAATTAGCAGATTCACCTTTATTTATCATTACATGTAAGCTTATAGCATACTCATACTACTAAGAGAGCCAAAGACAGAAGTCAACAGAAATGAAAAATAACTTGTAAAAAGAGACGTGACTCAAGATCATATTCCAGAAGGGGAAGAGAAGAAATATCAGCAGGAAGAAAATGTCTAAAGCAACAGAAGAGCTCAAGTTCTACAAATTGAGGAAATATGATTGCCTCCCTCAAACGTGAAAATATCACTAAATATTGATATTGACAGCAGAAAAGTTAGATCTACTCTATGACTTCATGGTGAGAGACTGCGATTTCCTTCGAGAGGTGTTCTTTCACCTCCAACTAGTTTTTTCCCCTCCCACCACCCAAAAGCCCCTAAAACAGTGCAGGAACTCTGGGTCCCAAATATAATATTATAGAAACTCATCTGCTATAGTCGTGTGCAGTCAACAGTGTCTGCACATGTTGCTGTTGGCGGAAAAAAAAAAAGAACCCGAATGAAACATCAAGCATTACCTCAAAAAGTCACTTTCTAATCTCCTCGCTCTTCCCATTAACTCTTCTACGGTTTTGGCAAAACAATGTTTATTAACCCTCTGTGAAGTATTGCAGTTTTCAGGAAGCCTACAAATACATCAAACATATCATTAGGATCAGAAGAACAACAAAGTTATAGACATGACTGAACAATCTCAGGCAACAGTCAGAAAACTCACAGTTTTTTATCATCATGAGGCATATTCAGAGCACCATTTGAGCTACAGACCATGCTGCATGCATCCCCCAATGCCAATCTAGCGATGGAGTAAGCCACACTCTCATGCTCTGAATTAGCTTCTGCAGAAAGAATTGCTGCAGGTGGAGGTCGAAGTAGTTGCTGCATAAGCTGAGTGGTCAATAAAACCCTTCTTTTAGCTTTAACCCCTGGTGCCCCTTCCTCAATAAAATCAATGCCTTCTTCAACCTGATAGTAGAAAATAACAGGTAGTTAGAAAAGTAAAGGTAATCAAATTTTGAAAACAAGAGGATTTTAGTAGTCAGTTCATGATACCTTTTCAGTAAGCCTATTAGCAGCTCTAGCCCACTCTCTTTCTGCCAGGCTGCATATAGGAAGTTAAAAACACATCAGCATGAAGCAAGAGGATTTATTAAAGAAATTGTTATGCATAATAAGAACCTGATTGTCTGATTGCTCCGTGAATCTACTGAAACTTCTTTATACCAAGGAGTATGTTCAGATGTAGCACGTTTCCGCTTCATGGGTTTCAAAATTTGGTGCTGATGACCAGCATTCACTGGCAATGTCTGCGGGAAAGAAAAATGCTCAATTGCAGCAGAGCTGGGGATAGAATTTGGCTCAAGATTACTGATTGAACTTCGATCGGCAGTTGCAGGTATGACTTGCAGCATAGTATTAAGTGCATGCAAACTACTGGAAGAGTTCCCAATAGTGAAAGATTGTTTGATTGTCTTCATTGCAGCAGCTCTACGTGCATCATACATCTGTAACATCTGCTCGTTTTTTNGTACAGAGGCATCTCTGTGGCAGACTGAAATAATACCTGTAATGACAACATCAGAAGCAATGGCATCGGGTCTGCCTGGAAGAGCATAGAAACGAGCCTGACGACCCCCTGATCGACCTTCCCCTTTGGGGCGACCCCTGGCTGAGTGATCCCCACCCCTAGCTGGCTGGGCGGGTGGTGGTGGAGCAGCTGGAGCTGAAGCTGATGACTGACCCCTCTGCTGAGATGAACTAGCAACACGGCGGGGACACTGCCTCCACATGTGGCCCACCTCGCCACACTCATAACATTTCCTAGGTGCTGGAGAAGGGGACTGATGGGAACCCCCCGCACCGAAGTGACTAACAGAAGCACTCGGAGTAGAAGAGCCCTGAAGAGATGGAGTACGGGATGAGCTCTGAGCTGGGAGGGCACTAAGTGAAGAATGGCACTGGTGAGAACTGTGGGAACCATGAATCGATGATGCTCCTAGATAACCTGAGCGATCAGACTGACCATGACGGAACTGTCGGCCTCTCCCGTGCTGGAACTGGCCCCTCGAAGGACCACCACTGTAGCTACCAGAACCTCGAGGCCTCTTGGCCTCCCTCTCCTCTCGCTCCTGGCGACGGACAGACTCAATCTCTCTGGCAATATCCATAACCTCCTCGAATGTAGCACCAGTCACCCTCTCCCTGGTCATAAGGATACGGAGCTGATAGGTAAGACCATCAACAAACCTCCTAATCCTCTCTCGATCTGTCGGGACTAACCAGATGGAATGACGATCCAACTCAGAGAATCTCAGCTCATACTGTGACACAGTCATGTCTCCCTGACGCAACCACTCAAACTGCCTACGCAACTCCTCCCGGCGAGACTGCGGTACATACTTCTCCAGAAAGAGAACGGAGAACTGCTGCCAAGATAGGGGTGCTGCACCAGCAGGCCTACGCCTCTCAAGATCCTCCCACCAAGTAAAAGAAGGTCCTAAAAACTGATAAGTAGTGAAAGCGACCCCGCTGGTCTCCAGAATACCGGCTGTGCGAAGCATCCTCTGACACTTGTCAAAAAAGCCCTGGGCATCCTCGCCCTCTGCTCCACTGAATGACGGAGGCTGAGGTATCCCAAATCTCTCCAACCAGCGCTGCTCATCCTCTAGCATGACAGGAACTATATGGTCCTGAGCAGCTGCGATCGGCTGGGCTGGAGGTGCCCCCGGCATCTGAAGTCCCTGCACGACCTGCTCAGGCGTGCGGGTGGCGGAAGTCTGACTGCCTCTCCCAGCCTGTGAAGTAGCTGCGGCTGTAGTAGTTGAAACCGCTTAAGCTAGGCTAGTACAAACTGATAAGATCTGAGCCAAGGCCTCCTGAAGACCCGGAATAACAATAGGCACAGCTGGTGCTGCTGGAGGGTCCACAGCTGGGACCTGGTCCTGAACTGGGGCAGCTAGTGGATCTGCAGGTGCTGCCCTCGCTGCTCTGCCCCTACCACGGCCATGACCGCGTCCTCGGCCTCTGGTGGCCACAGCTGGTGGCACTGGTGGTCGTCCATCTTGTCCTATAGCGCGTGTCCTCACCATCTGTGAGAGAACGGAACAACAGAAGTTTAGTACTCGGATTAACAACTCGCATGATAAGAATTTCAAGAAGATGATGTTTTCCTAAAGGTTCTGCAGCCTCTCGAGGATAAATACAGACGTCTCCGTACCGATCCGCGGGACTCTACTAAACCTGCTCATAACTTGTGAGACCTATGTAACCTAGGCTCTGATACCAACTTGTCACCACCCTAACCCCGAACCCGATCGTGATGGCGCCTCTCGTGAAGACAAGGCCAGCCAGTTGAAACCAACTCATCTGTTAAAACAATTAAACAACACATAACATTTTAAAACATAATTTACTAACACTGAATAGCGGAAAATAACGATAAAAATGCGGAAAATCCAACCCGACATAGCCCTAACCGGGGCGTCACAAGTCACGAGCATCTATGAATCCATAATGCAGTCTGCTAAGTCATAAACTACTACATTTGTTTGAAAAGAACAGGAAAGATAGAGAAAAAGAGGCACGGGGCTGCGGATAAATGGTTCAGCTCTAGAGCTGAAGTTTTCCGGTTACAAAGATTTCCTGGTTACAAAACAAAAACTTCAGCTCTAGAGGATTTATTAAAGAAAATGCTATGCATAATAAGAACCTGATTGTCTGATTGCTCCGTGAATCCACTGAAACTTCTTTATACCAAGGAGTATGTTCAGATGTAGCACGTTTACGCTTCATGGGTTTCAAAATTTGGTGCTGATGACCAGCATTCACTGGCAATGTCTGCGGGGAAGAAAAATGCTCAATTGCAGCAGAGCTGGGAGAATTTGGCTCAAGATTACTGATTGAACTTCGATCGGCAGTTGCAGGTATGACTTGCAACATAGTATTAAGTGCATGAAAACTACTGGAAGAGTTCCCAATAGTGAAAGATTGTTTGATTGTCTTCATTGCAGCAGCTCTACGTGCATCATACATCTGTAACATCTGCTCGTTTTTTAAGGTTTTGCAGTGATTAAACCAGGAAGGTTCCAGCTGAGGACCATTTTGAGTTTGCTCAAGCTTACAAAGACAAAAACTTCAGCTCTAGAGTTGAAGTTTTTCAGTTACAAAAGAAAAACTTCAGCTCTAGAGCTGAACTTCAGGCCCGGGTACTAAAATGCTGAAGTTTTGCGTGATTTCCTTTGCTACTTCAGCCCCGTGTGCTGAGTTATGTGAAAAAGCGGGTACGCTTGCAATTTTTTTGCAAAGCGGGCACAAGTTAAAATGTGGCACAAAAAACGGGTATAGATGCAAATGCCCCAATATTTTTTGATAGTTGTTTGTGGGCCAACTTGCGCTCACAAATAAGTTGTTTAATATTTAGTATATATATGAGTATTTATTACTGACGATTTTTAATTTTAAATTTCTATATTGGATGCTAGTAAAATCATAAAAAAAGCTAGAATCATAAACAATTTGTTTAGTATAGATAAAGTTTTTTAAAATAAATTATGACATTAATATTTAATTATATTTTCTTTTCTTTTAACCGCGCGAAGTGCGGGCTATTACGCTAGTATAATAATAGAATAGTGCACACGTTTTTGTTTTCACTTTGCTTGAGAAAGTTGTGACTTGTGATAGAAAAATTAAAATTTTAAAGTAAAAGTTGTACTTGTTTATGTACTACAATCAATGAGAATATATTCCTACCTAATTGATTATTTTCCAAGATATCCACCTTAAAGAGGGACTCTTTCCATTCCCAAAAGGACTGTGACGACCCGAAGGGTCATCACCTGTTTTTCTCATTCATTCCGTGCTCTTGAGGCTTTGAAAATCTCATTTTAGTCGCCTCAATTTGCGTGCACAGTCCGGGCGCGTAGCCGAAAATCATAAATATGAATTCTGTGTGAAAAATGATGAATTTTGAAATTAATATGATTAAAGTTGACTTTGGTCAACATTTTGGGTAAACGGACCCGGACCCGTGATTGGACGGTCCCGGAGAGTCAGTAGAAAAATATGGGACTCGGGCGTATGCCCGAAATCGAAATCCGAGGTTCCGAGCCCGAGAAATGAATTTTTAAAAGAAATTATTTTTCTGAAATTTATATGGAAATTTGAAATGAAAATGGATTAGAAAGTGTTGGTATCGGGCCCGTATTTTAGTTCCGGCGCCCGGTACAAGTCTTATATGTGGTTTAAGCACTTCCTGTGAAATTTGGTTGAAATCGGACGTCATTTGACATGTTTCGGACCTAAATATCTAAAAATGAAAGTTTATGAAGTTTGAAGAAAAAGTGATGATTTTGAGGTTTGATTCCTCGTTCTTGATGTTATTTTGGCGATTTGATCGCACGGTTAAGTTCGTAGGATGTTGTTGAGTTAGTGCGTGTGATTGGTTAGGAGCCCCGAGGGCTCGGGAGTGTTTTCGGAGGTGTTCGGGGTAGTTTTGGACTTTGGGAGTTAGCAGATTTTCTGCAATTTTTGCACAGGGATTTTCTTCATCGCGTTCGCATAGCCTTGAACCCCCTCTTCTTCGCGTTCGCCCCTTACATCGCGATCGCGTAAGCCAAGTTCTGTATCCCACAAATTTCCTCTTCGAGTTTGCACTCGACAACTCGCGAACGCGTACCTTTACAGTCTTCCTCATCGCGTTCACATTTCCTTCACGCGTTCACGTATAATGAATTCTGGACCCCCCACCCAGCTTACTTCTTCGTGTTCGCATCATCCCCATCGCGAACGCGATGCACTGCCCAGTTACCCATCGCGAACGCGACACCACTGTCGCGAACGCATAGAACAAAAACGCCCAGTTATATTTTTAAGTTTCCAGAATCAAAACATACGGGTTTCATTCAAATTTCTCACGAACTCTCTTCCTCCCCAAGCTCTAGAAGTCCATTGAAGCCCCCATTCTTCAAGACCATTTGGGTTAGTAATTTCCTACCTAATTCCTTCATTTTCTCTCATTAATTAGTGAGTTTCTAAGCCTAAATCATGTAATCTAGGGTTGAAATTGGGGGAAATGGGTAGAGTTAGGGTTTTTCAATTTTCTTTGATTTGGACCTCGTTTTGGGGTCGAGTTTGAAAACAAATTGTATATCTGGGCTCGTGGGGGAATGGGTGATATGAATTTGGTCCGAACCTCGTGTTTCGACCAAGCGGGCCCGGGGTCGATTTTAGAATTTTTGGACGAAAGGTTGGGAATCTATATTTAGGCATTGGGTTTGATTTGTTTAGCTATTATTGATATTATAAAGTCGTTATTTCATAGATTTGATCGAGTTGGAGCCGAATTCGAAAGAGAAGGTGGTCGTTGTGGGTTGATTTAGCCGTGGAAGTTGAGGTAAGTGTTTGGTTTAACCCTAGCTTGAGGGAATAGGAGTTGAGTCTTGTTTGCTATTTGCTAATTGATCGATTACGATGTATAGGCATGGTGACGAGTATCTATACATTAGTGTCTAGCACGACCGTGAGTCCTTAAAGGGTGATTATCGTGATTTGTTATGTATTCCATGTTAATTGAGGTTTTCTATATATTGTAAAGAACATGTGAAAAACATTATAACCATTTGATTTTCGTGGTGTATTGGCTTGGTTGTGATACGAATTGAAAAGGTATCTGAGATAATACAATTCTTGGGAGCATTGGCTCAAGTGAGAAAGTGAGATGTGAAGTAAGAAAATGAAAAGAAAGCTAAATGATCAAGGGGAGGGACATGCTGTAGGGTGTAACAGTTCAGGTATAAAAATCAATAATTAAGGAATGAAACAGTACAATACAATATCAACGAAAGTAGGAAATCAACAGTTGCACGGCACCATCCTTCGTGCTTTTACTCTCATTCTCAACCCAAACAATCATATAAAGTGCACGGCATCACCCTTCGTGCTTTTACTCACAAATGATTGCACGGAATGACCCTTCGTGCATAAACACTCATATCATGGCACGGAATGTCCTTCGTGCAATAGTAATCATATCATGGCACGGAATTTTCCTTCGTGCATTAGTAATCATATCATGGCACGGAATGTTCCTTCGTGGCATTAGTATTCATATCACAATCGCGACGGCATCATCCTTCGTGCTTTATCACTCGTCCTCACCCAAACAACAATCACAAACAATGGGCGATGGATGAAACAACAAAATAGGAATCCCGGCAATGGGAAACAATAACAATAATTTCAATATCCCGGCAGGGAGGAAAAAGTCTACCAAACAGCAAAAACATCCCGGCAAGGGAAAAACCATAACTCA